AGCTTGAACTTCTTCCTTCATCACCACAGGCTCTTGCTCATATCTTGTTTCGTTTAATTCTTCTATGTCTGCCAAGTCCTTTCGCTACAATGACTCAGTATATTCTTTCCATCTTCTTTTGATACCTCCTGGATCATTTAATATTCTGCCTAAAGCATCCCTGATTATAGCAACTTGAGGTTTGAATTTGTTCTTCAGTTCCTTGAGCTTAAGAAATGCTGAGCGAGTTCGACCCTTTTGGTTTCCTGACTCCAACTCCTTGCACATTTCATTGTAATATTTTGCTTTGTCATTCCAAGCTGCGTTTTGAAATCTTGAAGTTCGACAATGAATAAGGAAAATGATAGGTGAATTGATGCCTTTGAAGTATGGCTTTGGAAAATAATGAGTATCTAAAATAAGACTGCCAAAAAGAACAAATATGTCTTAGAGGAGGTCCAGCCAGAGTGCTCCCGAGAGGCAATGATGGTGAAACTTCATCTCACATTCCTTTAGGCTTGTTGTCAGCGGGGCACGTCCTTGGAAAAACAAAAACATCCTGCTGGGAGAGGTGGAGGGTCAGAGTAACAGAGGAAGACCCTCAAGGAGCCGGACTGACACAGTGACGGTAACAATGGGCAGAGCCTATCAGATGAGCACGGTGCAGGATACTGCAAGGTTCAGATCTCTTGTTCACAGGGTTGCTATGAGTCGCCATCAACTCAATGGCACCTAACAACAACCCGATGTGCCTAGAATAAAGGATAAAACACTCACTGTGCCCAAGAGATTCATCCAGGCACAACCGAACCATAAAACTAACTTCAAAGAAAATTAATTCAGGGTGTAGCTGCGCACTCTATGTCTGAAGGTAACAACGACGAGTAAAAAGCTCATTCCAATCTTCAGGAGGGTCGGTCGTGTTTCGGGGGGAGAAATGCAAGAAAACAAATATTTAAGCAATATTTAATATTTAACAATACTGAAGAAATGTTATGACAGATGTGACTGAGAAGAGTATGCTCTGGGACCTCTTCAGTGGAGGCAGGTTTTTTAAATCTTCCTGAGAAAGACGACGGAGGCTGAGCCTGGAAGAACAGGTGGAAATTGGCTAGATGGCTACAGCAAAGGGATTCCAAGAAGAGTGAGCGTGCTTATGGGAAGACACAAAGAAGAAAACAGTGCACGGAAAGTTGTTAAGAAACTAGAACCAGAGTGTTTATGGGTACATGAAGGAGACCGGCCAGAAGAGAAAGCCAGGGAAAGAAGGGTAATACCATCATGACAGTGCGGGGGGGGGGGGGGGGAGACTGGAGGTGAGAAAAGCTGGAGAGAGAACAATGAGGTGAATGATACTGATACTGGTTTATAACATTGCTCGTTTCTGGATGCCTCCATTTTCATAGCAAAGAGGCCACATTCCTTCAGAAATTGTGTGTATATCCAAAGTATTGTTCAGGAGCTCTGCATTCCACTGGATCAAAGGGGCTGACTTCCTCTCATAGGTGGAAAATGTCATTGTGGGCCAAGGAAGTCTGCAGGTACAACAGTAAAATGCTTGGCTAATAGTGAAAAGGATGGTGGTTCAAACCCACCCAGGAGCTCCAAGACAGACAGACCTGCAGCTCTTGTCTCATAAGATCACTGCCCAGAAAACCGTGTAAGAAAGACCTCCTAGATCTGGGTTTGCTGTGGGTTGGAATTCATTCAGCTGCATCTAAAAATATCCACAATAGTTGTAGGCCAGTCCGGTTTTGGCATGAGAAAAGAACATGGCAATAATGGAGGCTGCTGTGACTGGAAACACAAGCGTTAACTAATCGCCTCTGTATCTCAACAGCTTGAAACCTTGCGGGCTGGTAAAGATGGAGAGGCAAACGCTGGGCCGGTGGATTTTGTGCAAATGCCAGGTCACCTCCTGCCCCACAGCTCCCCCCTGGATAGCACACAGCTGCCTGGGCAGGTGGCTCCAAGGGCCTCCTTAGTACCTCTGATTACAATTTCAACCAACACCAAGTAGGCACAACCCTGTGCTTTTTTATGTGACGGCCAAGAACAGCCACAACGCCTGGGAACCATGGATGTGCTGACATGTTGTTGTTATGTGCCGTCGAGTCGCTTGCGACTCATAGCGACCCTATGTACAACAGCCCTAAACTCTGCTCTGTCCTGTACCAATCGCACTGTCTCTGACACTCCCATCCCGATTACCCCAGTCACTGAATCAATCCACCTCATAGAGGGCCTTCCTCTCCTGCGTCGTCCCTCCACCCTCCCAAGCATGATGTCCTTCTCCAAGGACCGGTCTCGCCTCACAACATGTCCAAAGTATGTTAGACGGAGCCTCAGAATCCTTGCCTCCAAGGAGCCACCCGGTTTAACCCTTTCCAGGATGAATCTGTTTGTTTTCCTAGCAGTCCATGGTACTCTCAATACTCTTCTCCAGCACCACAGCTCAAAGGCATCAATTCTCCTTCTATCCTCCTTGGTCATTGTCCAACTCTCTGATGTGCTGATATAGGAGAGCTCTTTAAAGAGCCAGCTTGGAACAAGGCAGGTGCACATGTGCACTGATGTTCACCCAATGTAAATCATGGAGAATTTACAGTCCTGACCCAAAATAGCAAACTTCTGTTTTTTAAAAAATTAGTCCAGCAGCTTAAATTATTCTGATATACATTCTTCCCTTCCTGCTTTTTCAGAAAATATTTCCTATAAAGAATTGTCTCCTTTATGCTGGAGATTATAACACATACAGAAGTGGCCCTCTGAGTGGTCTCCTTCCTCCCTCCTCGCCAGTAAAGGTTGTGATCTCACAACCTGTTCTCCTTTCCTCTATTTTCCACTCCATTTCCCTCTGTCCCTCCTTTAGCTCCATCTGAGGGATGGAATTCCAGGCCTTCTCTAATTATCTTTACATTTCTCCCCATTCCCATGGTCTTTTATTTGCTCAGTGAAAAGATGGAGGAATGGGAAGCACCCATGTATGTTTCTGCATGAGAATAAAGAAAATCCTAAAATGATGTCAGGTCCAAAAGCTTCAAATCCTCATAAGAGATTCAAAGCCGTGTGTCCAGAAGAGTTGATTTGTTAATCAAGGCCACTGTGGGGCGGAGGGAGGTACAGAGCAAACCCAGCAAAGGAGCTTTTAATGAGCACTGAGAAACTCATGATTCAATATGACAAATTCCCGTTTTTTCATCTCCAGAAGCCCACACAAAACACTTAGCATTCAGAAGCATTTTCATCTACGCGGGAAGTGTTCTAATGACAATTCAGAAGCCTTTACTCGCTCCCTGGGAAGCGTTTCAGTTAGGACAATGGTGCAGAACGCGAGGCCGGTGTAATAGGGAAAGAATTTGGAGAACAAAGGATAAATACGTATGATCGGGTTTAGTTTAAAGATGAAATGCTCAACTGATTTTTTTTTCTTTTTCTGCCTCTTCTCTTTCAGGAACAATTCCTTTTTCATTTTTGAAAACTTTTCCAAACAATGTGAAACCCCAGTAAGAAAATCAAATCACGAAATGATGTGAGTATTCAAAGCTGCTCAGGAAGCCACATCTTGTTCTGTAGGCACATTATTATCATCAGGCCCCAATAATTTCCTTTTGATAAAAGTCTTAGCTGGGGGGATGCTTGCTAAGCATTTTTTAAATGGTTTAAAAATGGGAATTCTCTCTGCAAGTGTCATCCAGCTGATTAAGTATCTCAACAAACCAAACCAGAAGTTCCTAAGTATGCATCTAAATATTCATTCGGTGATTAAATGGAACCCTCAGAAGCTGAAATTTTATCTGCACGTAATCTCCTGTCACTAAGTTTAAATGACACCTTTAATTGTAGAAATGAGCAGAGTTCCACAGAGCCCGCTTGACTAATCAGTTGCAGGCACTGTGCCCAAAAGCAGCCATTTCCGTCCAGAGAGGGATCCAACTTGACCATTCTGCATTTGGGTTTAAAATTATTCAATCCCTCACTAACACAGAGACTAGACGGGGGCTCCCTTTTCTATTCCAATAACTGATGTTTAGTACTTTTCCTGCTATTAACATTGGATGCTGTGGCGTTTCCATTTACCTTCAAGAGCAAAGGAAGCTGCCTCAAAAGAAGATGTTATGGCTGCTTTCTGGGGGGTGACATGGGGGACCTCTTAGTCTCAGCATCCTGAACTCTGTGATTAGATTTTTTAGATCCGAATTCTGTATACATCCCACTTCCTTGGAACCATCAACCCTCAAGACCCCATCACCTCTCCAAATCCCAGCATCATGGCTTCCACTGGACCACTGGACCACTGTTGGTCCTTGTGTTACTGCTGGTGGTGCTGGTTGAAGCGGGAGATGCTCTCTCGTGCAGTGTAGTTCTCATCACCACAGACATCTGTGCTTGCTTACTGGTGTATGCACAAAAGAGAAATGAACAGATGAGACACTGAATCATGCTTCACCCTGCAAACTCTGTCACTCTCAATGGATGTTAGATATCTGATGTCTCTGATACCTGAAAAGTTCCTAAGAAAACTGAGAGTAAATAGGACTGTTTTACTTCTTAAATGTTTTCTTCTGCCTGGGAACAGATTAATGTATGTTATATGGGGAATGATGTTTTCTTCACATCAGAAATGAAGGCTGTAGTTTGTATTTGCTGATTAGAAAGGAGGGGCAAGAAATGACTAAGGCATATGAGATTGGGAAGGGACCCCTTGCCGAGAAGTCTAGGAAATCACTTTTAGTTAGAACTACTGCTCTTGGCTCAAGGACTCTTTTATCCGTATTTGTATTGGGTTTGTGTTTTTATTATCTAATTCCTACTGTACTTCAATATGAAATTCACTCACTACCAGTGAGTCAATTCCAACTCTTCATAGCAACCCTCTGGTTTCACAAGGCTGTTAATGCCTACTGGTAGGAGATGGCCTATCTTTTCCCCAGGGAGAGGCTGCTGGATTCAATCCACAGGAGATGAGGCCGCAAACTCCCCGCCACCAAGCCGCTCAAGTGTCAACAGAGCACCGTGTGACATTTCCTCAGTCAAATATTGAAACATTTCTTTGGAAGAAAAGGGTTTAGAAAATGTACACCATGCATCTAATACTAAAAGGGGGAGGGGAATTACTGTTAAAGACCATATTGAAATAGAGAAAAGGTTTACAGTTTAAAAAAAAAAAACGTACAAAGGCCCAAGAATTGGCAGCATATACCAACTGACATAGTTCAACAGACACTGCTCTGGATGCGCTCACCAAGTTGTGCCAAGAAATCTGAAAGGAAACCTCCTGGCCAACTGACTGGAAGACAGCCATATTTGTTCCCATTCCAAAGAAAGGTGACCCAACAGAGTATGGAAATTATCTAACAGTATCATCATATGCAAGCAAGATTCTGCTGAAAATGATATAAAAACTATTGGAACAGCATATCAACAGAGAACTACCAGATGTACAGGATGGGTTTAGAAGAGGCTGTGATACCAGGGATATTGTAGCTAATGTTATACAGATGAGGGCTAAAAGCAGAAAAGTACAAGAAATATCTGTGTTTAACTCACTATGCAAAGGCATTTGACTGTGTATCACAATGAACTGTGGCTGACTCCGAGAAGAATGGGAATCTCAGAAGACCTGATTATGCTATGCGAAACCTATACTAAGATGAGGAGACAGTCACCAGAAAAGAGCAAGGAAACATGGTTCAAAATTGGAAAGGGTGTATGCCAGGGATGTGTACTATCTCTGTATCTTTTCAATCTATATGTGGAACAGATAAACTGGGAGGCTGGGCTTTATAAGCAGGAGTGCAGCATCAAGATTAGAGGAAGACTCATCAACAACCTGCATGATGACACAACCTGCAGATGACACAACCTTGCTTGATGAAACCGAGAAGGGCCTGAGACATTTGCTACAAAATGTCAAGGACTGTTATCTTCAATATGGATTGAACACCAAGAAAACAAAGATTCTCACCACTGGATCTATTGACAGCATCATGATAGAGGGCGAAGAGATTGAGATTGTTAACAACTTCAATTTGCTTGGCTCCACAATCAACACTCTTGGTATCAGCAGCCAGGATATCAAAAGATAAATTGCACTGAGAAAGTCTGATGTCAGGGACCTCTCCAGAGTACTGAAGAGCAATGATGTGAGACCTGATCCAGGCCCTGGTCTTTTCAATCACTTGCTATGCATGAGAAAGCTGGACAATGACTAGGGATTACAGAA